TATATTTATATCCTTTATACACATAGCAAATTAAAAATAAATAAACTTCATAACGACGGAGCTACTAAAATAGACTTTGATCAAATGATGCTGAACGGGGCATTTATTACATTATTATTAAGTCATTCCAACTTCACACATTCGTTCGTTTATTTACTCGTTTATTATTTCTTTCTAGCCAGTAGGAGCTTAGTTACTTTGAAGGGTTTTTTTTTTTTTAATCGGACGGGCCTGAACCTTTCAAAAAATAATACCGACATTAGGCTACTCTAAATAAAATTTATTTCGGAATGTAAGTTCATTTCGATATCCAGCTCCATTTCTACTGTTAAACTCGTGCAAATGTGTTTAATTAAGACATGCTTAAAAGAGACAGTGACTTTTTGACCCGAGCAAAAAAATAATAATAAAAGCACAGGTTCACGTGCAGGTTTCATTCATCAAGACCTCTCACAAACGATCATGTTTTTCCCTCTCTGGCTGAGGTAATTAAAATAGGAAAGGGCAGCCAAGACGTCAGGGGGAAAATCTGATCGTACATTTAAATTGGAGGCAAAATCTTCTATGTCAAAGCAGCAGAATTGAGATATTGAGGCAAAAGCGGCTATAATTAGAGCGGCTGCACATGGCGAGGTGGGCTGAGGGTCTGGACTCAAGGCGAGCCTGTGTTGAGCTGCGCGTTTTTGTGCCAGGGTGCTTGGGTTATCCAAAGGTCGGTGGGCTCAGCCATTTCCCTTAAGTCTAAAATCACACTGGTCCCTTTATTCGCGCAAAGAGCGCCTTCCAAACGGAGCCGGTGATGTGCGTGTGGGATGTATGTGAGAGCTGCAGACTGGATGGAGATGCCAAGAAATTGGTTTGGTTAATTGTTGAGGCTTTCAGATGTTTTGCTCAGCAGGCCGGCCAATGTCTGGAAATGCGGTCTAAAGTTAAGCGTGTAGCAGCCTAAAAAAAATTGGTCTAAATTTAAACGTGTAGTAAAAAAATATATATTTCTGCTGTTGTTTTTTAATTAAATTAAGCGAAAACCTGTTGTCGACTCCACTTCGTTTTGATTCTGTAACCTGAACTGATGGGTTCGCGTCCCAAAAACTCTTCTGCAGAGCTTCACCCGCGGGGAAGCCATTTATTCAGCTTAAATCGAAAAATCGTGGGTTTCGAAGTACGCTAAAAAGGAGGCAACGGGGTGGGATATTTTTCAGGACAAGTCTTTGAGCCTTTAACTGGCAGTTTGACTGTCAGACAGAGTCTGAGTCTATGTGGACTCCTAATTGAAAACAGATGGCGCTTTGAGGTTGGGCTCTGTGCAGCAACTGTGAGTTTGAGACGCTGCTCTTTTCCATTCAGCCTCAGCGCTCAGTCAAGCATACAGGTGCACGGTGTGTTTCTCTCTCACCTCAACTCTTCTGTCCTCACTCACCCGGGAAATGGAAACGTGTATACCGACGCGGATTGATCCAGAATGTGGGTTTGGTTTTAGCGCGTGACCTGGGCGATGCAAATGAACTGCGTATTTGTGGATGAGTGTTTACTGTTGATCCAGCTGGTTAGGTTACATTAGTATCCAAGTTGCATTAGACTAATAAGTACCGAATAATTCAAATTATACCATGTTATGAAATAAGTTGCCGCTACACAATGTTGTTGCAATAGGCTATCGTTATCAATTATACTGGTTTGCAATATATAAACGTAAGAACATCAGACAGGAAAAATACGTGTTTCATTCATTCAAACAAAACTGTAAATAAGCGGCTGCATTTTCAAACTACATTTGAAGGACAATACAGAATTAATTAAAGATGTTTTTTATAGTTTAAAGGGCGTGCATGTTTAAAACACTCTAATTACCGTTTTGTATCCGCAACGATATTTGTTCATTTAATACATTTCTGCCTGCCCATCTTCAAACAATAAGTTAATCATCTGATTGGGAGATATTTTGTTTGCTTTTCAAGGTGGTTGAAAAACAACAATACTGAAATATGAACACGTGTGATTATAGCCTATAATAATCTATATGTAACACGTATGTTATTATCTGTCATATTGGTGGATAAAGGTTCAAACAGTATGCTGCTGTAGCAACAAACTCTTAAATATTGGAGATAGCTTTATTGAAAATTCATATCACATCTTTTGATTTTTTTTTCTGTTATGCATTTTACACTGTCTTTGATAAATCAGCAGAAGTCTCAGCAGACCACAAGCGCCAGCAACTCATCACGATCTTGACACTGAAACGGATATATAGGTAAACACAGCGCAATATTCTTCATCTGTGCAATAACGAACGTAGACGTGAAAATAAATATAGTTCAGTAGGTAAACAGCTTAATAGATCGGTGGACCAGAGCTGATTTGAGGGCGTGATTCTGCTAGAGAAAAAAAGATACTTGCGCTTCTGATACATGAGCATTAAATTAAATCAAATGAGCATTTCCAATCTTTAATAATTTATAATAATTTAATTTAAAAACGTATTACAATGCTTATACTTCGTCTAGAAATTTTGATGTTGTCGTGTTATTTATGCCATATAGCAATACGGTTTGTTTTCTTACGTAAACTACATGTTTTCATTTGCATTTGTTTGATGTTTTTCAATGAGCCACAGTATATCGCTATTGTGGCATTTAGAGAGATTATATCTTCTCCAGTGTATCGATTTATTCTTCATATCAGCAAAATCAATTGCGTTTGCCAGTTCTGTCAAGTGAAATTGTCATAAGATGTTCTTGCTCGTCGATATTTTTCTCCTATATAGCATTAAACGGAAATTAAAATTGGGATGTTTTGACATCAAAGGAATTCTGAAGATGTCGCTCTTTGATGTCTGATTCAAATCCATGTGGGAAGCTGTATGGATGTGCGTACAGGAATGTAGCGGAACCGTTTGAAGGTGGAGACATAAAAACATATTGCATTAAAAAAATAATGCTGATATACAGAGTAGTCTAATATCAAATTGGCTATATCAAAATGGCCGGCCCACCTAAATATCTGGACACAGGATAACATTTGAGCAACAAAATGATAAAGAAAAACAAGTGCTTGAAACACATCAAATCCAATGTCTATAAAATAATGTTGACAGAGATCGTCAGGATTTGTGTAGCGTTTTATTCATATTTTTTTTTTTTTACATTTTAAAAGTACGTTTTAGAACGGAAAAGGTATTAAAGAGAAACATTTTACATAAATTGTAGCAAATATTATTTTGGAATGTATGTTTGGTTTAGGCTTCAACAGCCGCTTTCATGTTGCTAAAAATATCGCTCGGCTATGCTTAGTTCATATTTAAATAACTTTTCTGTTTTCTGAACAAATGATGAATAGCATTTCAATTAATTATTTGAATGTTAAAATTAGAAGACGATTAGGCCTTTTGCCACGTAACATGTAGGCTCTTAATCTTGGGTAAAACAGCTATGTTTCGTTTCAAGAACGAGAGATTGCAGCGCTTAAAACACTCCAGCCTGCAGCATGGCGCAGGACTCGGGATCTCTCTCAATCCAAGAGCTCGAATGAAAGTCTGCATGTGGAATTTCAAATGAAGGCCTGCAAGCAGCAAAATGCACTTCTCTTCACCTGGACTGTGCTATAACGCACACCGCTCTGTTCAAGTCCCATAAGACTGCATGCTCGTGAGGGAGCTGGAAATCATGCATATTTAAGAGACTGATCTGGAGAAGGCAGCACGTTCGTGTCGCTGTTCTCCTGCGGTATTTTGTGGTGCTCCTGCGGCCGACATCCTCCCTGTTGACCCCCGTCCCCTTCTGCCTTTTCCGTCTCATGACTCCAAAATTGCGTTTTTTTTTTTTTTTTTTTTTGTACACAGGAGTTGGTTTTCTGCTTAGGCCTTTTCTGAGGACGCGCCTCTTTAAGTATATTTCTGAAGCCCACATGCTGCGCCTTCTAGAAGTCCTGCTGAATCCTCTAGTGGTGATGTGAGTATCCTCGGCATGTCTGGTATGATATTAACCAAGCTATGCGCAAGTAAACACGTGGACACTGAACACAAGCGCTGAATTACAATGACCAAACTCTGTTCCCAAACGCCTCAGGTCACGACGATGACAGACAGTCCAAGTCTGCTTATGGAGTTGCGTAAGAGCAAATTATAACAAAACACGTCGTCACCTCACAGCAATTAAAATTTAAATTGCATGGCAATAGTTGATTCTTCTACTACCACTGCTATTGCTCTGTAAAAACATAAAATATTCAGTTGTTGTTTAAAGAGATTTATCTGATCTAAACCTTCAAAATGATTTTGGTGGTGTAACCTAGACTCATGAATTTGATTCAGTCACATTAAACAATATTTTGACTTAAACCAAGATTAATTTGATGCTGCCACATTAAACACATTTTCGCTTACAACTGATTTTTTTTACAGTTACTATAAAGATAATAACAACAGTAATAATAATTGTAATGAGAATAATACGATTATACGTCTGAATTCCGCCTTACTTAATTGCGGGACGTGGATTCTCGAGAATTTAAATTTAATTGAATCACGTGATATTTTCATATTTTATATTCAATATATTTATTTAGCATATACAAAATAAGCGTAAAATGTTGCTAAATTTAGATAAACAAAGTTATGCAGTGAGTAAGGATAAAAATGACTAAAACCTAGACATAAATAGCATTTAATAATTTTTTTGATGAATGCATATTTAGTATTGCAGGGTTCCATAAAATGCTGAAATATTAATGTGCTTGCAGGGCCTATGATTATTTTCATATAAATCAGCGTGCTTGACCAAATCATATTTATTCGTTTCTTGGTGCATTTTAGGATTAGACGGGCGTTTGGATCAAGAAACTGTGCCACAGCAAAGCCGAATCATTTCGACACGCTTATGTGGATCATTTATGGAGGTTATTGGCACGTTCTTCAAGCTATTGTGCTCTAAATGCATTATTACTCTATACTAGCACACAGTTGTGTTCCTGACAGGGGTTTAAGAAATCAGGCGTAGCCTAATGTTAACTCAGATAGCATGGCAATTTATTAAACAAACAATGCAGTTCCTTCAGAATACTTTTTCAACAAAAGGAGATAATTTGAAAGAATATGGCGTTATACATGTTACGTTCCTTGTTATAGTGGAACATTTGGACAATGAATGCAATTCAACTTAGAAACACTTTTTGGTGTTTGGTCCATAATATCCGGCTACACTTTAGAAATAAATTACTATATGCAATTTACACGTAATAACAAGTCCATAAACGTCTGACGCAAGTCAACACAGCCCAGCATATAGCTCACAAAAACGAAGAAGACTTACGTGTTATTCGAAGTAACACTGTCCTTAACAAACCGAGAGCAAGTGTGTCTGATTCGCGTTTGTGTTCGGTTTCTGTTCAGTCCATCACGGGGGAAGAGTCGGTCAATAGCTATCAGCGTCTCTCGGTATCGAGAACAGGGGAAATCAACAAAAACAAAACGAAGAAGGAGAACGAAAAATAGGCTATACTTGTTTGGTCAAAACTTGCTGCAGTCGTACACAAAAGCCCCCGACGTGCGGTATATAGGCTGACTCGGGGGAAACGACATTTGACAGCTGTTATTCCCGTTCACCGGCGAGTTATTCAGACCGATTCTCTGCGATTCAAACATCTCTCGAACCGAATGGAAGTTCTGCTGCTGCGCCGGGTACGTGGAGCCCAGATGGCCAATGTCTCCGGCCTGGTTTAGGTACCATGAGGCGAGGCGCCCTTGGTGCGCATGGTGGCCCTCCTGAGGATTCCCGTGGTTTAAGGACGACGTGGTGGTCGTGATCGAGTAATCGGGCAGAGTTTCGTCCACGGCGGTAGTGGTGGCCAAGTGGCCCGAGCGATCCCCGCCCGCGTACAGAAAGCGCTCCATTATGAACTGATAAATGCCGTTTAGGGTCACCTTCTTGTCTGGGGAGTTCTGGATGGCCATGGTGATGAGCGCAATGTAACTGTATGGCGGTTTTACCATATCCTTCGGCTGCGGCTGCGGCGTATACGGTCCGTACGCCCTCGCCATGCTGGCAGGGTACTGCTCATGGGCCGCGTGAGAGTACATGCTCATGGGGGCTGGCATCCCGGTGTACCCCCCTCCGGCGGCGGCCCGGTAATAACTTTGGTCGCTGCTGATGTACGGCACGACTCCCAGCGAGTTGGGACTGGAGACGGAATAGCGCGCCTGCATGACTTCTCTTCAAACGGCGCTGGCGAAGAACAGACGTCAAGAAGTCTGAAGCAATCCACAAACCCGCTTGACCCGCGCCTCCTCTGAAACCAAGAAGGCAGTCCAACCGTGAGTCCACGTTATGCCACCGTATTTACAAAATGTGACTATAGTATTGGACTCGCGTACTGGCCGCCTCTGTCTGTCGGAGCGCGCATTGGAAAACTTCTGAACGCTAAGCATCGGTCACTACATAATACTTTTGCGCACTTCCAATTCTTTTCCCCTTTTGCTGCCAGTAAGGCTCCTCCCAATAACATCTAAGTTGTCCAATGGGAGGTCGGGCCGTGCAAAGCGAGCGGCCACACACAAGGTTGAAGAAAAACGAGAGGTGTTGGGACGTCCCAGCCCACCCTAGCCAAACACACACTTCTCCAGAACTTGAAGAACCATGCTCTCCACAAACTAGCCAGCGCGGATACGCACCAGATTGAAAACACTTTAATGATTATAATGCAACATTACGAAACGTTTGTTTATAAATCATTTGGAATGTGTTCCTGAATAATCTAAACTATTATATATATATATATATATATATATGAAGAGTTTATTTGCAAAAGCAGATAACTCTTTTTTTTTATTTTCAAAAATCATGCTTTTTTTATTATGTTATCGTGTTTTTTTTTGTGTTTTATTGTGTTAGTTAGCTGTATTTTTTTACCTAATCAAAATAACCCAACTGCAGTTTGATTGAGATTAATTGGACTCCACAATGGGACAAAAAAAAAACATGATTTTTGTTAAAAACACAGTTATCTCTTTTAGCAAAAAAACTCTTCATATAAATAATAATAACAATAATAAAAATACAAACGGATTCATCACACTCCTTTCCTGAATTCTTCGATTAATTCATTTATACATGAACATTTCAAACAAACGTTGATCCAGCCGTAGCGCAAACAAGTGCTAATAATGAATTGTAATGACTTGTATTTCGCACCAGCCCATTAGAAGCGTTGGAGAACATTTGTTTTCAAACAATCAATACGCGAATTAGCGTAAATAATCTCCGGCTTCCTGCGTGTTTAGTCGTAATGCTAGTTCTTCATTAACACTGGCTGTTAGTTAACGGTCTCATTCAACACCGGTGAGCGGATCAAAGCCCATCATCCGGGCACAGAGCTCATTATGCTGGAGTTAAGCAAGTTAACACACTGGAGAAAGAGCCGAGGTGCGAGAGTTTGCTCCAAGTGCGAGCGAGATTAAAAACCCTGAGAAACAAATGGGTAAAGCAAAACAGCTCACATGTGTCAGCACTGCTCAAGCTAGTGAGAAGCATGTCATCCTTGTTTTATGGCATGCCAATAAAATCGGCCTGTTCATGAAATGGTTTACTTCCAAAGTAATGCCCTAAACTTATATGTTTATTTATCTGCCATTAATGACGTAACGGAGTGTGAGCACTTTCAAATATATTCGTAGCATTAGTTGCATTCGTTTAAAAATGTCAATTATTTTTATTCAATTATAATTACTATTTATCTTTTTTATTCTTTCAATTTTCTTTTTTAATCTGCACTTAAACGCTTCTTCAAGCTCCTTCAATATGTGTTTATAAAGCAGGCCTAGAAAGTGCGAAAGTGAATGCTTACTCATATTGTGGTATTATTTCGAGGTAAAACCCAAACAATCCGCACTAATTCTTGAATTGTACGACGGCCACGCATCCTTTATGTAAGGACGACTGGGGGAGGAACACAACATGTAATTGTGAATGATAATTGTGAGGCCAAGTTGCGGTCACAATATCTTCCTAATCCCCCGCAGGTCGCTCTGATTAAGTGACCATGGACTAGTTGATACTTCACTGGTTTCTCCTTACAGAGACCCGGGCATGAACTTTTTCTTGTGCCCCAGGCTATTTGTTCAATTCAGTCCGCGCCTCTTACTTAACCCCAAACTCCTGCCCACCCCGAACTCCCATTCCAGCCAATTAAACCAGCTACCTCTGGATAACGCCGAAACACGACTCTTAAGAGCCTGATCTAACTGTGAAGTAAAAGAAATGGTTTAATCGTTTGTCAACAAATATCAGGTTATTATTGTTTTTTTCCAGTGGTCTTTTGAAAGGTCAAATAAAATGCACAGTATATAGGCTACGAGACTCATTAAAGAATAAGTGTATGTAACTTTAAAAATGCTTTATCTGCTAACTGTGCTACATTTAAATAAACTTTGTTCGTGAAAATATGATTTCATGTCACTGAATCAATATGACTATTTTATGTTGCACCAAAAATTTTAACTTTAAAGGTTAGATCAAGTAGAAATGCAATAACAATGGTGTGTAGGCAACGACTGTAACCAGTTAGTAGCAGAAGTAGTAATATATTTAAAAAAAAAAAACACGTTTCTGCTAAACTATTGTTGAGGTGAGTTACAGACTGTAATACTTTGTGTACATCAAATAAAAGCTCTAGTGTTATTCATTTGAATGCTGAAATTGTCATGTAGCCTAAAATTAATCTTTTTGTTTGATCGATTTATTTCATCTTTACATGCATGGCGATACTCTGGAAATTCTATCTGTATAGAATTGGCAAATAAAATTGATTGCCTTTGCTATATGAAAAGAGAGGTCAAATTTTATGGCATACTGTAATACTGATATGCGCGAAAACAAGAACGATTAAAGCTATACAATTTAAACTACTGTAAAAGTGTTCCGATAAAAAACAAACATTGTTTCCATATCGCATGTACAACAACCTGTTTAATGCATAGGCCTATACAGAAATGAACAATATCGATTATTTGTGTATGAAATGTTCCTCTCTGAGACTGCGAAAGCATCGGCATCCCAAATAAAAACAGCAGAAGCTACAAAATGTATAAAATATACAAAGCAGTGCTAATCACTTTGAGCAACCAATGAAGCAACATTTTGAAAAAAAGCATTTGATAAACGTAACAAGTAAAAGCACATAAATACAAAAGTCGACTGGCTCTTGGCTAGTTGTGGCATGATTGTTAGAAAGCAGAGGAAGTCTGTGATGGTCAGAGAGTAAAGAAAACACCCAGCGTCCTGTGCTCTTAGCGCCCTCTTTTGATCACTGAACACCAGTGTAGGCAAATGTACATATAGAGTTTAACTATCTAAAAGACACAATTTTTATGATTTACTGAGGTATACAAAAATTAAAGTAAATAGACATTTAAAAATCATATCAAGAAAACTGACAAAAAATAAATTGATTAAAAATGAAAGACAAGAGGGGGAAAAATCTTGAATCTGATTTCAATGTTGATTTAAATTAACAAATAAACAAAAGTATTTTTTTTTTAAATACAATAACAACAAATATTCAAGTGCTATTAAAAAGTGCTTTAAAAAACTTACAATTGCAACTTAGTATATAAAAATATGTATACACACACATATGCATAATTACTTCTTATTACAAAGGAAAAACTATATAAGAAATATTAACTTGAACTTAGAAACAGATATAGTGTTTGTGAAATAATAGGATAGAACTGCAAATATGGCCTGCTTTTCTGTAGCAGCCTCAAGTGACTTTCTGCAGGCCAAGTAATTCCAGAAAATGCAAGACTACATTTTATTAACTTGACATTGCTACCCCCTTGTGTTCATTATGAAGATTGTTTCCACTGTAAAGGAATTTTGGGCCATTCAGGTTTAGGTTGTTTTCAGTATCTTTAAGGGACATACAAATTACATCAAAAATACTTCATAATTACTAAAAAAAAATGTAATACTTTAAAAAAATACATTTAACTTTTAATATATGGAATATATATATATATATATATATATATATATATATACAGTGCACAGCA